AACCAAACAAACAGGGAACTCATAAGGAAGAGTGATTTAGTCCTGTTTTAAACTTGGTGGATTTGAGCCTGGAGCTTGGAAGGAAGGTCAGGGCTGGTGCTATAGAACTGTTAGCTGTGAAGGAACAATCCCGAAATCTGGGGGAGTGGGCCCGAGGGAAACAGTCCAAAGAAAGCAGGGAAGAGGGCTGAGGAAAGTGCTTCGGGCGGTGGGGGGGGGGTGTCTGGAAGAGGAGCCAGTATAGGGGCTGTCTAGGAGAGGATGGGGCCATGTATCAAGGAAGAGAAGGTTTCAAAGGTCTTCCAAGCAGTCAGTCCACAAGCACTTATGAAGCACCTGCTGTGTGCCAGGCACTAGTCTAGGTAATTAGAGATACAAAGAATGAGACAGCTGGGTCGCCTAAGGATAGCGTGCTAGACTTGGGGCCTGAGTTCAAAACTTCCCTCAGACACTTAGTAGCTATGGGACCTCTCCTCAGCCTTGGTTTCTTCCAATGTAAAATGGGTATAGTAATGACACCTGCCTTCCAGGATTGTTTTGTGGATCCAAATGAGGTCATATCTGTAAAACCTTTTGCAAACCTTATGCCAGCTAAATAATGAAACATCCCCACTGTCAAGGCTTTTACATTCTCTTAGGTCTACGATTCCATGAATCTCAGAAGTAGAAGCAACTTCATCTAGTTCAGGAGTTCTTAATGGGTGTCTGTAAAGTTTGTTGTTCAATATTCTGATAACTCTATTGTTATGTATTTTATTTTATATATTTTAAAATGAGCTTCCACAAAGGGGTCCATGGACCCATTGGGTCCATGACACAGGAAGGGTTGAGATCTTTATCTGGTCTAAGCCTCTCATCTTCTAGATGCAGAAACCAAAGTCAGAATATATTTCTATGTGTATAGATGTGGATAAGTAGCCTTCTACTGAAATATGAAAAGCCAGGACATCTCTGTTCTCCTTCTCGGGAGAGCTCTCCTTTCTATCAAGTCCAGAGGTGAGAGGGCAGGAGGCTGAGGACCCCAACAGTGTGCCTCCTCCAGAACAGGTCTTTGGCTATAGGCCACTGAGCACAGAGAGTCAGCTGCCCTCATCCAGGATGAGAAGTCTTGGGTCTGAGGACTGAATCCAGAAGCTGGCACTCCAGGCAGCTGTGCACCCCAATTCTGGGCAGCAGGCTGCCCTCCTCCCCGGCTCTCCCGCCAAAGGGGAAGAGAGGGTTCCCAAGTGGGAAATACTTGTTGGATGAGAGCTGACCACTCATGGCCTGAGCCCAGGAGTGCGCTAGGCTGGGGGCTGGGCGCAGGGACACGGGCTGGGCAAGGAGAATGGCTTTGGGGAGCCATTCCAAGGAGCAGAGAGGGTGCCCTTGTCTCGAAGCAGACAGACTCCTGCAGGCAGAGGCACAGCGATTCAGATTTCCTGCTGACAGAAGAAGAAATAATAAATCCTGCTCTTGGGCAGCCTGCCATAGCAAACAGCTTCTCCGTGAAATAAGTGGAGCCCGTCAGCCGCGGGGGTCATGCAAACAGAGCAGAGAGCTCAGCCCTTTGTAGGGACAGGTTACTGGATGGACAGCACCCCGCCATTTTCAGAGTGACCTGTCCCTGGAATAAATGAGCTGCTCAGGGTTAGGCTTGTGCCATCATCCGTGGACTAGGGAGGCAGTGTGATAGGAGGGAAGGAGGCCCGGCCCTTGAGTCCAAGGAGCCACTGACTCCTGCTGCCTCTGTGACCTTGGCTGAACCAAGGCTCTGCCTTCTCTTACCCTGATGTTCTATGAGTCTTCATGAAGACAGCCCGCCAGACCAGGCCATTGGTGTTAAGTGATATAAGCAATGCATGTTATAGGAGGGAGAGAGCACCTCTGTTTTGGTCATCACAGACTCCATGGAGAAGGCAAAACTCAGACTAGGCCTTGAAGAATGAGCAGAATTAAAACAAAGGGAAGGAGGAGATCCCAGATGAAGGGCACAGCATGGCCAAAGGTCGGGGGGGAGAGAGATGGGACAGGGGAGGAGAGAGGGAAGGAAAGGGGAAGAGAGAGGAAGAGATAGAGCAGAGAGGGAGAGGCAGAAAAGAGGAAGAGAAGAGAGATAGAGGGGGAAGAAAAAAGGAGAGAGGAAAGAAAGTGGGAGAGAGAGAAGAGGGAGGGAGACAAGGGGAAAGGAAAAAGGGAGGAGAGGGAGGGAGAGAGGAGGAGAAAGGGGGAGACTGGAAAGAGATAAGAAATATAAAGAGAGGGGAAGAGGAGAGAGAGGGGGAAGGAGAAATGGAAAGAGGAGAAAATTCGAGAGACAGAGAGAGAACTGGAAAAGTAGGTTAGGCCCCTACTGGGGAGGGCCTTGATTGCCAGAAAGTTTCATTTGTTGGGAAGCCATAGAAGTAACACGATCAATGTGGTATTTGCTGCTGACTAGTTTGGCAGGCCAGAGTCAGCTGGATTGGAGAAGGAGCGACTGGATCCTGTTCCTATAGCATTAAGAGACTTTGAAAACATTCAAGGGGCATATAAATGTTACTGTTATTGTCATTATTATGACTGTGGACCACACACATCCACGCCCAGTTCTGCGCCTTGGATGTGGGATGTTAGAGATCGAAAGGACCAGAGAAATCGTCTTCTCCGAATCTCCCATTTGACTGAAGAGAATTGAGGGTTCTGCCCCATCGAGGAGGATTGGGGTTGCCCATGACTCAGTTTCAGGGGTCTTTCCATCACATCCCACATTACTAGGAGTGGAGGAAATTTTGGGAAGAGAAAGGAGGCAAAGGGGAACCTCAGGCCTGACGTTCTGTGCATTCTTTAAAAAAATGTGGGGGCAGCTAGGTGGCGCAGTAGTAGAGCACCAGCCCTGAATTCAGGAGGACCAGAGTTCAAATCCAGCCTCAGACACATAACACTTAACTAGCTGTGTGACCCTGGGCAAGTCACTTAACCCCATTGCCTAGCCCCCCCCCAAAAAAAAAAAACAAATGTAATTATCCTCGGGGCAGCTAGGTGGCACAGTGCATAGAGCTCTGGCCTTGAAGTCAGGAGGACATGAGTTCAAATCCAGTCTCAGACACATGACACGTACTAGCTGTGTGACCCTGGGCAAGTCACTTAACCCCGATTGCCTCACCAAAAAGCAAAAAAATTTTTTAAAATGTGTTAATGTCTTTTGTTTTTACTTCTTCCTTTTCGTATCTCCCCAACCTGGCAAGATATCCCTTATGGGGTGGGGGAAGAGTAAATTAAAAAAAGAAAGAGAGAGTAAAAGCAGTTGAACAAAACTGACAGACATGACAGCTGAGTCTGAGCACATATGCAGTGTTGCCCACCCCCAGCCCCTCCACCTCTGCACAGAAGAGAGAGAGAGCACTGTATGCATTCAGAGGCTCCAAGAGACCCTGTGGCATCAGAGAGGAGAAAGGGGCAGGGGAGGAGAATTGATTTGTTAAAGAATGAGCAATCACTTCAACCTTCCCTGGAACCCTCTTACTCTCTCATTTCTTTAAATTAATATTTTTGCTTTCTTTGGCGCTGTCAGCATTTTTGAAGAAACAGATCCTGAGGCAGGAAAGGAGGCCAACCAGACTCTAATTCAGCTGGGAGGGGATCGGTCAGCTTCCTCTCGTGTGGCGTGTTTCTGACGTATCTGCTGTGGGAGGCGTCTTCTTTGGTGGCAGCCCCCTCTGAAACCTGTGACACAGTGGCCAGCCCACACTGAACCTAGTCAAAGATGCTCTCTTTCTTTCCCACTTGAGTAACAGTAGAATAAGGCTGGATTTTTTAGAAGGACTTTATGAGGGAGAGGGAGAGGAGGAGGAAAGAAAAAGTTTATCACTTACAGGAAATAAAATAAGGAGCTGGGTTCAAATCCTGCACTTGAACCCTGCTGCCTGTGTGACCTTGAGTTTCAGGTTCCTCATCCATAAAATGTGAGAGATTGGGTTCAATTACCTCAGAGGCCCCTTCCAGGTTTAAATCTGCAACCCCGTGACCTTCAGATTCATAGCCACAGTGTCCCCAGTGGTGACCCTCCCAGCTCCAGCATTTAGCAAGCCCCCCATGATAGGCCTTGTATTTATTTATTTATTTATTTGCGTGTCGTCTCCCCCATGAGATTGTAAGCTCCTCACAGGCAGAGACTGTCATTTTACCTCTCTTTGTATCCCCAGAGCTTAGCACATAGTAGGTGCTTAATATTTGTTCACTGATTGCCATCTGACCTAGCCAACATAAGCATGCTTTGGTTATAAAACGTGATGCATTCTAGATCCTCTGCCTCCCAAGCTCCTGGTTTCTCTTTCTGGGTACGGCCAGTGCCCTCCCTCACCCTTCCACCTTTCAGAATCAGGACTTCTTGGGGGCCACAGTTCTACCATATTGGGAGTCTAGGCCCTAGACTGATTGCATCACGGGGAGCCTCCCCTTTAATCCAAGGAAGACGAGCAGGTTTACGATAGCCCAAGGACAGTCAGTGTCCAGACAGAGAGCAGTTTGTGTGCATCAGTCAGTCCACTAACAGAAGTACCTGCTATGTGCCAGGCACACGGCTAAACACTGGAGATACGGTAACAAAAATAAAAACAGACTTGACTTTGAGGAGCTTATCTTCCCAGGAGGATATAACGGGTGAATGTATAGGCACATACAAAGCTGGTACCAGTAGCTTGGGTGAGGTGATCAGGGCCAGGGGAGGAGCAGAAATTAGGAGAAGCTTTATGCAGAACAGTCTAGAAGGAAACCAGAGATTCTAAGAGGCGGATGTGAGGAGCAGCCCAGCCGGCACAGGGTCAGCCAGGGACGGAGGCAGAGGGGCAGGGCCAGGAGCATCCCCACCAACAGTAAAGGAAGAGTCATTTCTGTGCAGCTTAGCTTCAGGAGGACAGAGGGGTGGGCAGTGAGGGCTGAAGAGCCCAGGGAGGGACTGTGTGAAGAGGACTGCATCGTCTTTCCAACAGCCGTGGTGGGTCTAGACATTGATTCATTGACCGTTCTCCCTGGTTACACAGGGGTCAGGCTGTTTAAAGGGAGTCTCAGGCCTGGGCACTTGGAGAAGACCAGCTGATACAAGGCCTCCATTTGCAAAGACTGTAGGAGTGAGCCCCAGCAGGCTGGAGTTCAGTGGGACTGGTGGGTGTGGCCGGGCACCATGGCGGTAGTGGTTTGGGAGACAGCAGGGCGGGGATCTCGGTTGGGTGTGTGCTGTCGCTCTCCCCTTTTTGTGGGACTTTGCTGCCCAGCCTAGTGGGTTAACTGGAAAATGGTCGGCTATCTCTTCCCAAGGGTGGGGACTCTGGTGTTGTGGTTTACACCTGGAGGCCATAAGGAATGAGGGACCCAGGGCCTGGGGAAGCTGCCTTCTGGATGGCCCCCATGTGGCAGTCTCACTGCCCTGCCACGACGTCAGAAGATACCCAACAGCCTATGTCATCTGGCAATTACTGACCCTGGCCTAGGTGCATAGCTCAGGCTCTACAGTCCCCTTCCCTTCCCCTAGCCCGTGTGTTCAGTCACATGGGACTAGAGGAAAGAGGGCAGGTTGCAGAGTCAGAGGGCCCAGGTTCAAACATGCCTGATTCTTTAAACCTCCCTGGCCCTCAGTTTCCTCTTTTATAAAATGGGGGGGTTGGTCTAGTTGGCCTGTGAGATCCTTTCTAGCACTGTCTCTGATGTTATGACCTGTGGTTACTGAGTGGCCTGGGGATGAGGGTGTCTGGTGTGGACTCCATGAATTGGGTGTGGACTCACTGGGTCTGCTGAGGCCTTGGTGGGTTGAGGTGGACCTGGGTTTGGTCCCCTGCTCCTTCACGTGACCCCTCTGCCCTCTCTTTCCCTTGAAGGTCATTTCCAGGACTTGCTGAACAGGTCGGAGCGGGCGCTCCAGGACACATTCCCCGGCGCCCACGGGGACTTGTACAGCCAGAACTCGCGGCTCTTCAGGGACCTGTACTCAGAGCTCCGCCGCTATTACCGGGGGTCCAACATCAATCTGGAAGAGGCGCTGGCCGAATTCTGGGCGCGCCTGCTGGAGCGGCTCTTCAAGCAGCTGCACCCCCAGTATGTGCTGCCAGACGAGTACCTGGACTGCATGGGCAAGCAGGCGGAAGCCTACAAGCCCTTCGGTGAGGCGCCCAGGGAGCTCAAGCTCCGGGCCACCAGGGCCTTCGTAGCAGTGCGCTCCTTCGTGCAGGGCCTGGGCGTGGCCATTGACGTGGTGAGGAAGGTGTCCCAGGTGAGTGCCCAACACAGGTGCCAAGCACCCTCCCCCACCCCTGTCCTCACAGGTCCTACACCCCGTCTGTTAAAAAAAAAAAAGCGCCATGCACATCAGTGAATCAGCAAGCATTTATTAAGCACCTCCTGTGTGCCAGGCACATGGCCTGAAGTGTGATGGGCCCTGCCTTCGGAGAGCTTCCATTCATCAGTGGCAATCCTCAGTGCAACATGGAGAATACAGAACCAGGCACAGTGTCACCACGGCTGCCCTTGTTGGGGAGCCTGGAATCCTCTCCTAACCCCAGTGAGGCACCTATGGAAGACTTTATTACCAGATATTCACCATTATCATCCCATTACTGTCATAAGGGCAGCGTGGGAGTGTGGAGAGAGAGTCGGCCATCCTGGCTGTGGGGCTCTGGGCCAGTCCCTGACCCTCCCAGCATGCCACACAATTCCCAGAGGAGATGTCTTCATGAGGCACCTTAGAAGTTACTGAATCCAAACAACCCCCCATTTTTACAGCTTGGGAGTGTGCTATAGTGGATAGAGGTGTTCTCAGAGTCAGAAAGCCCTGGGTTTGAGTGCTGCCTCTATGACCCCAGCTGGGTATCAGAAGCCCAGACAACAAGTCCCCACTTCCTTCGGTGGGGGAGTTTACTATATTAATGTGATCCCAGTTGGGGTAAAAAAAGAGAAGAATATGCACATGGCCAATCTAGAAAAAGAAGGCAGAGGAGAAAGTAAAGCCTGATGATAATTGGTCACCCTGGAAGGTATCATTGTGTCAATCTGGGGACCTCTCCCAGTGGGTAACTCAGAACCAGAGATTTGGAGCTGGCAGGAACCTCAGAGGTCACCTCTCCCTCCTTTTACAGATAAGGAAACTGAGGCCCAGAAAAGGGCAAATGAATCATAACATCATAGATCTGGAAGCAGAGGGGCCCTCTGAGGTCAGACCTAACCCAAATCCTTCTTACAGATGAGGAAACTGAGGCCTGACTTTTTATCATCCCAATGGAATGTATTTGAGGACAGGACCCATTTCATTTTTGTCTTTGAATCATCTGTGCCTAACACAGGTGCTTACAAAATGCTTACTTCATTTTCACCGGCTGTGGAAACGCTCATTATCTGTCCTGGGATTTGTAGGACTTCTCAGAAAGGCCAGTCGGTGTGGGCTGCTAGCCCCTTTGGACACAGAAGAACCGGTGGAGACGATTTCGCTTGTGTGCTAACCCTCTGTTTCCCCATGAAGGGAGGAGGCCAGGCAAGGATGGGTGTATGTCCCCACCTCCCTGGCTGAGCAGCTGGGACAACAGTGGTCAAAGAGGGCCCCTGTTTCTCCTCCCTTCAGCACCTATTGTGACATGAGTCCCTAAGCGGCACCATGGTTGATGTGCCATACCTAGAGCATCTGTCCTCCCTGTCTAGGTCTCCTGGGACTAGCCATGGGCACTTGGCCCAGCCCTGACAGGCCCATCTGGAGGTCAGCCAGGAAGTGGGAGAGGGAAGTAGAGACCCAGAGCACGCAGTAACTCCAGTTTGTCTGGACCCATTACGTACCTGCCCCTGGGCCCTCACCCAAATCCTCCCACCCTTCCCTCCAGTGTCTGTCTGATAGCCGGATAACACTCCTTGATTCATGCACAGTCTGGTCAGGCACCTAGGGTCCACTGGGTGATGGTGACCCTGCCCTTCTGCTTGCAGGTCCCCCTGGGCCAGGAGTGCTCTCGGGCCATCATGAAGTTGCTCTACTGCTCCCACTGCCTGGGCGTCCAGAGCCCCCAGCCATGTTCTGGCTATTGCCGGAACGTGATGAAGGGCTGCCTGGCCAACCAGGCTGACCTGGACACCGAATGGAGGAACCTGCTGGGTGAGACCACTTGTTGTAGCCCTGATCATCCCCTCCTGGCCCTTCATGCTGTTCTCTTACCCTGACATGAGACCGCACTATACTCCCCAGGTTCCACGGGCACCTCCATCTTCCCTGCTACCCGGGCCCCTGGAGTCCCTTCCGCTGGACCTTCACTCCCCAGCTCCATCTCATCCCACCCCATTATTCCAGGCTGCCTTTTATGCCCACATAGGAAATGAGACCGAGCTGGGCTGTATCCTAGATCACAAGGATAAGGGGTTCCTAGAGCCCTCTTTGAAAAAAAACCTTCCCCTGCCTCAGTTTCCCCAACCATGGCTCCTGCCCCCTGCCCCCAACAGAGTATCACTGAGGATAGGACTAGGCACATATCTGGCATTGACAGTATGTGTGCTGAGTATAGATTAAGGGGGTGATGTTTACTTAGGAGAACAAGAAATGGGGGACGGCAAGGCAGGCTTTAACTTGCCTGGGTCTGGCTTTTTTTTTGGGTCCCATTCATTTGAGACCTGCAGCACCTCCTTCCAGGCCCTGGTCTCTGATTGACCCAGAGGATCCTCTTCTTAGGCTGTTCTTTGGGGCCGCAGGGGAGATGCTGCCATCTTCGGAGGAAGGTCCAAAGCCCAGCATGGCCCCATGCCTACTGAAGAGCTGTGTTTGTCCCCTGCCCATTAGGCTCTCTGACCTGGAGCCAAGTCACAAGACAGAGAGCCTGTGGGGTGTGTGTCTCCACCCCCCTTAGCAATCTCATGAAGCTTAGGGTCTCCTCAGAATAATGTTTTTAACTACTTTGAATACACAGGATTACAAAGGAAACCAAAGGTGGGTGAAAATAAAGATGTCCTTTTTTACCCCATCCAAGTTCACAGATCCCCCAGGTTAAAGACCGCGCTCTCATTAGGTTCCTTATTTCCTCACGCCCTAAGAGAACGTGTAGGGATCCTGGCAGAGCATAAGCTCCCCCACTGACGCCTCGGATGTGTTCCCCCACAGACTCCATGCTGCTTGTGGCTGACAAGTTCGATGGCCAGACGAGCGTGGAGAGTACAATGGGGACAATCCACGTTCGGATCTCAGAGGCCATCACCGCCCTCCAGGACAACAAGGACACACTCACAGCCAAGGTGGGGATGCCTGCCCATGGAGGGATCAGAAGGGAAGGGTACAGGGAAAGGCTGGTCTGGGTTCAGGCCCCACCAGGCCACACCCACATGGATATACATTGAGGGTTCCAAGGACAAAGATGGCGCTCGGCATGGTCACGCCTCCCCCCAGAGCACCATGTACACAGATGATCAGAAAAACACAATTTCCTTCCTCCAGAATGGGCCACAAGAGGCAGGCTGATTATACGCCCTTGGGAGGTCTCAGTCCCCCCCCCCCGAGGCAGCCCCCTTACCGCCCACAGTGGTCAGAATGGGCTGATGGGCATTGGCAGAGGGGGGTCACCAGGCACACTAACACCGACATCAGAAGTCTGGTAACACCAGAATTGCTGATGGGTGCCCGGAGAGAATGTTTCCACACTGGGAGTTCTCACTACCCCATAAAGTCCCAGTCTGGGCCTGTGCATCCACCTCTACTGGTGTAAGGCAGGATGTGCAGAGGAAAAGCAGAGGTGCTGCCTCCAGGAATCACTCCCCAGAGCCTCAGTTTCCTCATCTGTTAAATAAGGAGGTGGGACCAGATGGTCTCAGAGGTCCCTTCAAAGCCAAGTCCAGAATGCCCTCCCTCACTTGTGTCCCCTCAGGGAGCCTAGCAGAGAGTTGGGCAATTACATCAAAAGAGAGGCAGTGATGGAGTGGGAGAAGGAGTAACCGTGGGACATCTCCTCACCTCTTTGTGGGGTTTTCTCTAGGTTTTTCAAGGCTGTGGAAATCCCAGAGTGAGCGGCAAGGCCCCCGGCGGAGAAGAAAAGAGACGGCGAGGGAAGCCTGTCGCAGAGGAGAAGCCCTCGGGGGTTGGGCTGGAGAAACTGGTAAGTACCTCCCCCACCCCGAGTGCCAGACCACATGGGCAGCCCCACGACGAACCTGACCTCGGACATGCTGGGTAGTCCAACAAAGAAAGATGGCAGCACTTCCAGCCATCACTCAAAGCTCACTTCCAACGATGATAACAGAGATAATCAGAGTGAGCATTTACAAAATACTTTTGAGATTTGCAAAAAGCACTTTTACGTAGATTATCTTATTTGATCCTCACCACAGTCCTGGGAGGAAGGGGCCATTATCATCCCCATTTTACAGATGAGGAAACTGAGGCCCAGAAAGGTAAAGAGACTTGTCCAGTCACTTAGCTAATAAATGTCTATGGTGGGATTTGAATCTAGGTCTTCCTGAGTCCAGCCCTTTATCCACTATAACACGCAGCCTTCTTCACTATAGCTAAATGGGTACTTGGCTGACCCTAGGCAAGTCACTTAACCACTGTCTGCCTCAGTTTCCTCGTCTGTAAAATGGGGGTGATAATAATAGCACCTACCTCTAGGGTGGTTCTGAGGTTCAGATGAGTTAATATTTTTAGAGCAGCTCAGTACAGTTCCTGGCACATGGTAGGTGCTTAATAAATGCTTATTTCCTTCCTGCCTTCCTTCTTACTTGCAATCAAGCCTTTATTAAGCACCTGCTGTGGGCCACTGTTGCATTCTGGGTACTTCTTGGGCAAGACCAGGCCCCAGGCTGAGAAATTCATTCTCTTCAGGCTTGATCCCACCCCACTGTTCAGACTGCCCCCGGGGCCTCCTACTGCCTCTCCTGTGCCTCTCCTTAGGTCTCAGAAGCCAAAACCCAGCTCCGGGATGTCCGAGACTTCTGGGTCAGTCTCCCTGGAGTCCTGTGCACGGAGAAGGTGGCCATGAGCTCAGCCTTGGACGAGCGCTGCTGGAATGGAATGACCAAAGGGCGGTGAGGAGCAGACCGCCCTCCCCCATCCAAAAAACCCTTAGCTACACGGACTGCAGCTCTCCTGACCTTCCTGGGACCTGCCTCTGCCCTTCTGCCCCATCACTTTCTGCTTTTTTCCTTTGTTTTGGGGAGGCAGTCAGGGTTAAGTGAGTTGCCCTGGGTCACACAGCTAGTAAGTGTCAAGTGTCTGAGGCCAGATTTGAACTCAGGTCCTCCTGACTCCAGGGCCACTACTCTATCCACTGTGCTGCCCCCCACTTCATATTCTTTCTTCTTCCCTCCTCTTTATCACCCGTGTCCTGCATCTTCTATCCAAACCCTGGGCTGGGATAAAGCAGGGAGAATGGAAGGAGAATAGCCCATTCCTTCCTTTTTCTGTTAGTATTTTTTACTAATCTTCCCTCCCACCACCCTCACCTCATTGAGCAAACAAAAAGAAAACAAATCACTCAATACATAGTGGCAAAGTCCAGAGCAGTTTCCCCCATGAGCCACATCCGAACACGGCCTCTGTCTGCATGTTACATTCATCCCTCAGTCCATGGGGAGGTGAGGGACGTTTCTCCTCTGCGTTCCTCCGGCCCCCTGGTTTCTCTCTGCAGTGATCAGGGTCTTCAGGTCTTCCCAAGTTGTTTCTCTCTGCGAGGTCATCACATCCATTGTCTTCCCAGCTGTGCTGTGCGTGGGGTCATCAACATCTCCCCAGTGAAATTGCCTAGGCCATCATTTCTCACGGCACAACGTTCCTATGTTCACGTGCCACCAATCTGGCTAGTTCTTGCCTGCCACAAACAGAGCCGTTGTGACTGTATTTTGCACAGATGGTATATCTAGGTCAAAGGGCATGTGCGTGACCCCCTTTTGAGGCCTGAACCCCGTCCCACAGCCTTTGGCTGCATGATCATAGATTCTTTAGAGCGCTCAGTTTAGGGTCACGTGACTGCCACTGAAATCCTGGACTTTGGGCAGGCCACTCGTGGCCTCAGTGTCCTCCTTTATACAATGATCCAGCTGGACAGGGTGGTTTCTAAGCCCCCTTCCGGGTCTAAATCGAGGCAACCTCTGGGCCCAATTTTCCTCATCTGTTAAGGTCAAGGTGTTAGATAGACAGGCGGCTATGCATCAGCACAGAGGAGGCTGCACTTGCTCCCAGATGACCCGAGTTTGAATCCCTCTTCTCCTACAGCCATGAGACCTTGGACAAGTCACTAAAGCTCTGGGCTTCAGAGCCCCCTTCAAGCTGTCAAGAGTCACAAAAGGTCCTCGCCTCTCATCTCACTGAGCACACAGGAAGGATCCCTCTGGTGACTCTAAGTGGTATATGTCCCCTTCCTCCCTTCCCTTTCAGGAAGGCAGGGTTCAGACGTGGCCATACTTCATCACCTCCAGTGCCCACTGAAGAACATGGCGCTAGGCACGAGAAAGATATGATCCAGCCAGGGGTGCAAAGAAAAGAAAAACCATCCCTCCCCTCAAGAAGTTTACATTCTCATGGGGGAGACATCGCATACAGAGAGATACAGAGTAGATGGAGGGTAGCCCTAGAAAGAAAGGCATTTGTAGCCAGGGGGACCAGGGGAACACATAACCAAATGTGTTGGGCTAATAATAATAGTTTGCAAACCTTAAAATGCAATATAAATGCTAAGAGCATTACATATATTTAATTTGATCCTCACAACAGCCCTTTAAGGTTGATGCTGTTATCATCATCCCCACTTAACAGATGAGGAAACTGAGGCTAAAAGTGACCTGTCCGAGGCGGTTCAGCTAATAAATGAATGAGGCAGGATTGGAATTCAGCTCTTCAGGACTTGAGGGCCTACCTTTGATCCACAGTGCCAGCTAGCTACAACACAGGGTGATGGCTAGAGAATGAAATGGGACAAAGGGCAAAATCAGAACAGGCGTAAAGAGGTGGTGTGTGTGTCCCCTGTGCCCGACAGGTACCTCCCTGAGGTGATGGGTGACGGCCTCGCCAGTCAGATCAACAATCCCGAGGTGGAGGTAGACATCACCAAGCCCGACATGACCATCCGGCAACAGATTATGCAGCTCAAGATCATGACCAATCGCTTGCGCAATGCCTACAATGGCAATGACATCGACTTCCAGGACACCAGTGAGTCAGAGGTCGGGGCTCAGGACGGGAGAAGGTGGGGTCCCAGGCCTGAGAACCTGAGGGGATGTCAGCCTTTGTCATACTCTACCCCAAGAGGGTCAGTGTGGAGCAAGCCTTGACATGGTGCCACCTGAGAAGTGGGAGGAGTCCCTAAAATTGGGGGGGGGGTGGAGTGTCAGCTGGATCTAAAGCGGAAAGAAACCCGAGAGGTCATTGGGTCCAGCCCCTCTTTTTACAGGGGTGAAAAGTGAGGTCCAGACAGGTCACACTAGTGAGTGTCGAAGGTGGGCTTGGCTCTAACCTTGACCCTGCTGACTCCCAACCTAGCACTGATGTCCAGAGGGAAAAGGGCTCAGGGCTCCTGCCTCCCTCACTCCCCTGCCTCCTTTTACAGGCGATGACATCAGTGGCTCAGGGAGCGGCGATGGCTGTCTGGATGAGGTCTGTGGGAAAAGACTGAGCAAAAGTCAGAGCACGAGGCAGCCAGAGACCCACGCCATCCCCAAGCAGTCAGAGCATGATGGGAGTGGTGCCCCAGGTTGCACCCAGCCTTCCTCCCTCCTCCTCCTCCTCCTCACCCTAGCCCTTGCTGCAGCATGGTCCCTAGGGCGATAACCACCCTGCCAGCAAAAGGGACTACGGCCGAGGCCGGCCTTTGCCAAAACGGACAGACGATATTTGATTCATCTTGGCAGACGGCAAAAACGCACTTGAGCTCAAGGGGAAGGTCGGTGACTGAGAGTGACCATGGCCCCGGACCCAGGCAGGAGCCTTCAGCCGCTCTGACTCGAGGGCCAGTGGCCACACCTGGTTGTTTGTTTGTTTGTTTTGGTTTTTCTGTTTTTTAATTTCATTCTTTTCCGGGGGGGCTTCACGAGGCTCTCTGGTTGACGGGAAGATGACGCTTCCCCCAAAGGATCTGTCGTTGGAACACGGGCGAGCAGCAGCGGTGATGCTGTGTAACACATAATAGCCCGAATGTCCAGCAGTAGAGGGAGGCCAATCATGGGAGAGATGACTAGAAGGCTGAGTTTGAAAGGTCACTGCCCCTTGAGAAAGACAAGCGCCTGTGCCTTCCCTCCCTCCAGCGTCCCTGCAAGCAGCCTCTCCTCAAGTGGGGAACCAGTTCACAAGCTTATCCTGAGTCCGGGCCTCGATGCAAAATCCTGCCTTCAAGATCTCAAGGAAATAAGTCTTTCTCCTTAGTTTTTAAAGCAGTTGATGGCTCCCTGCCCTTGAGGTGCCCAGGAGTGGGAATTTTATGTTTTGCATGAGATTCCAAAATTTACCCAAGATCTCAACCAACGCTAATCCACAACTACACTTCCATGGCTTACGACACGGAACAAAAACATGAGGCTGCTGAGTAATCAGAACCCCTCATTTTGGGGTTTTTTAAACTGGAACCAGTGCCCTTTTCTCAATGAATCTGACTGTCAAAGGCTTTATTTACACATCATGGTTCTTTGTGATATTGTGATCCAATCCAGTGGGTCCAGGGGGAGCTAGAGAAAATGTCACCATTACTGTATTTGGGGGCTATTCTTTTTTCATTGCCTGACCCAGAAGAGAGCAGCATCTCTGCCTGGCTTCCTGGGAGCGCTAGCTGCCCCATCCTCCATTTCATAGCTGGGATCACATGGGGCAGAAGCCTTTCCTCAGGTCCCACACTGGGTCAGCTGCTCTTAACCACCCCGAGAAGACAGCTGGCCTTCTAGGCCACACCAAAGCATCCTCTTCAAGTTATCATTTTGGTTTTACTTTGTCCTGTTGTTCTGATACTCCATAAAACTTCTTACTTGTCAGGTGGGAACTCGGATTTTGAGTTTTCCTTTTATTATTTTTGTTTAAACATATGTAGAGAGAAAGATATCTATTTACCATCGGCAGAACCTTGTCCTTCATAGGGCTCCAGGGTGGTCATGGGAATCCATGGGTCAGCAAGTCCTATCCTGCAAGTGTGACACAGAGCCCCACAAGACCTATCCAGTGAAATCATGATGGAATTGTATTATGTTACTCATTGGTCTGATATTGTGAAGATTTTTTCCTTTTTCTTTTTTTTCCTCTGTGGAGAGGTTGGGGCAGGAAGGTAGAACCAAAATGCTAGCTATTACAGTTAAGGGTTTTTTATAGGCTTGCATAAACTTTTCAATACTCCAAGTCCCATTTCCATCGTTAAGAACATTTTCTTGGAATTATTTTTCAAGGAACTTTCCTTTCAAGGAAGACATAATAGAGAGAGAGTGAAAGAGCTGACCTGGGAGTCAGAAAAATGGGGATTCAAGTCCTGCCTATGAATTCCTCAGCCAATCATCAATAAATAAGCATTTCTTAAGCGCCTATTCTGGGCCAGGCACTGTGCTAAATACTGGCATTTTTCTAAACTTCGTGGCCTTGGGTAGTAACCACAACATGCCTGGGCAGTTCTAGAAACTGAGAATTAAGAGATCAGCGGATGCATTCCCTACACTAATGAAATCACAGGCCCAGCCCGTTCATTTTCCCCCAGCCTCTCCTGAATAATCAAGCCTCACAAAGTCTGATGAGTTTAATGGCCATTCTGAGTCAGGGCCCCTGTAGACCAGGAACTTTTGAGAAGTCTCAGTGTTACCAAGCAACGTTACAAGCATCCATTGCTGCAGAGGAGAGGACTCCTCACGGAGTCCTTCTTCAAGCACAAGCAGAACGCTGCCCATCGGATCCCTAATGCTGCATTCTCATTGGTGCTATCTGTCATCCTTCCCCATTCACAAGGCTCTAGGCCCTCAAGTGATTGTGTTTTCCCATTCAGGCCCCAGAAGGCAGCCATTCTTCCCAAGGACTGTGTTTACAACCCACCACCATTTTGGTGCAGTGTTATCCTGGCCTTTTCATTCCTTTAAAAAAAGGACCTTGCCCTGAGAGGGCATCAGGACCCAGATGCCTAAGGCAGAATGGTCCCTTCCACCTACCTTGGGATAGCATTTATCTTTCCCACTACTCTGGGGAAAATAAACCTGATTGCCTACTCAAGGGTTTTTAAATGGGACCCACTGTTACTGATAAGCGGGGAAGTGGCTATAAACTCACAAACTTTGAGAACTGGGAGACTTCCAGCCCATCCAGGACAAGAACCTTCAGACGTTCTCCTAGAGGGTCACATGATCAATCTTCATTTAGTGACCATTAGTTATTGGTATGAATATGCTAGCTAACAGGACAGCTAGTCGTTAGAGCACTAGAAACTCAATGGCTTAGAAAACAGATTTACAGCTGGAAGGGACCTCATCTAGACCTGTCCTTTCATTTGAAAGTTGAGTAAAACTGAGGCCCAGGGAGATAAAGTGATTAAGGTCACACGGGTGGCACATGACGGAGACTGGATTTTTAGCTAAAAAAATATTTTTGCTCAAAGGCTCAGGTTGGCCTTACCTGGCCTGTGGTCACATGTTGAAGAGCTGGGCCCTGATCCCCTCATTGGACTGAGGGGAAAACAAAGTCCCAGAGAGGGGAAGGGATTTCTTTGTGATCACACCTGTCACCTCTCACAACACAGACTGACCTTGCTGGTCTCAGGACTCACGTCCACCAGGTCAAGGCTTACCCAATACTGACAGTCAGCAGGTTGGGGACATCTCAAGTCCCCAGACCTTCAGTCCAGGGCAATCCTCTCGGCCTCCACTCTACTTCACAGGGAACAAGTTAAAATCCCTAAAGTGCTGCCTATCATTGCCTTTCCCACAATTCCATTTCATGACACTGTCTTGCTAAAAAATTAAAATAGCATCACTCAAACACTTGGGGAGGTCAGAGAGTCACAGAACAGGGAGATATCTCGATAGTCATCCAGACCAGCATCCCAGACCAACGGTCTCCGTATGCAGACTCTCCATCACCTCTGGGAGAGTCACTCCCCTCCCAGAAGATTCCCTTCCTCCTATTTGGAACCTATGATATGCTATGGTTCTAGGACCTCAGAAAATCTCATTACCCAACCGGAGCTGGTTTTGGTCATGCAAAAGCCAGGGCCCCATATATGAATGAACAGACTGCCTTCAGGCCGGTCTCTCCCAAAGCAAGATATGAGATTACTGCTTGGTTAGGTTACAGCTCGCACTGAGAAGGTAAACCACAGGCCCCAACAAAGTGTGTCTCATGATTCTGGCCTTTGTTAGGTTAGGCTCAGGAGATGGGAAGGAGTTCAGAGGCCATCTAGTCCAATGTCACTTTACAGATGAGGAAACTGAGTCTTAGGCCTCACCCAAAGTCACATGGAGAGTAAGCATCAGAGAGGGGGATTTCAACCCAGGTCTTCTGACTCCAGAGTCAGCATCCAGTCAATAGATCCACTTTTTGTGCTCAGCCGTTAAAATCATTCATCAAGCATTCATTAGGCACTTACTGTATGCCGGGTAATGACAACAGGTGTTTTGCTGTATTCCTTTTCCCATGCAAGCAGCCTAGCCCAAGACAGTCCCCCATGAGGGGACACCACAGAAGAGGTAGAAATGCAATATCTATCCTTCCACAGTCCACAACATAATTTGGGAAAAATATATCCAAGCAGTGGTATGTCCCAAAAGTCTTACCAATTCTAAACTTTAATAATCATTACAGCTTAAAACTGAACTAAAACTTTTGGGACACTATCTGTTTCCACCAAGTGGGTTGAGTTGCACATGGCCACAGGCCTTTGGGATCAGACAAAAAACATAAAACTTTTGCCCTTAAGTTAAAGTGCTGTTACCACCTTAGCAAAGGAGACCACCGGAGAGAGAAGTTCATTGTGATTTAAAATAAATTAAATTTAAACTTCCATCCCCCAAAATGGAAAGTCAGGTGCCACTGAGTTCATTCTGACCACTGCTCAAAGCCACAATTTCTATGTGTCACATTTGGGATGAAGGGGTGGGGAGGGGTCAGAAGAGGATTTGAGGGCACAGTTGCTTACCATTTACAAGTCACATAACAAACCTTTTGTTTTCTGGTGGGCTTACTAAGGGATAAGGACAGTTCAATAAAAATGTGTTAAAAGCCTCCAAATTATTCCTTTGCTTTTGAAAAAGAATGCATCTCTCTCTCTCTGCAAAATGAAGATTTACTTCACTCACTGGCAAGGCTGGCCGATTAGTTATAGATTTCTTTCTGTTGCCACGGTACCTGTAACTATCTCGCACTGTTTGTTGGAAGGTGGAATATGTTCTTTGAATCCTTGTATAAATAAAAAGGCTGGAGACTTACTGGACGCCGGTGCCACAACCTCTCACCAGAGTTTCCAAAGCCTTATTTTGTGTTTGCCCAGCCATGTGACGACACTGAGGTCATGACCTCACTGTTCCTGCTTTCGAGTTAAACCTGGAAATATCACTCATGCTGATGTCCGTGTACTCGCTCCATGCTCTGAATGAACGAATCCCTGCTTGTCTACGAGCTCACTTTCTAAATGGGGGAGACAGCGCACGTAGGAAGACTCAGATGCAAGGCAAATGGGAGGAGGGGGTCGGAGATGGACAGAGCACAGCTGGTATCTCAGAACCTTAACTGTGTGCTCATACGGGGCATTCAAAAGCGGTGACGTGACCTTAAACTGGGTAGATCCATGATCAATCACCAGTAATCAAATTAGCACTTCTTAAGCCCTGCAATGGGGTGGGGGTTTACAAAGACAAAGAATCCCTATTCACAAGGAGTTTACATTATAATCGAGAAGAATAAATCATTACATGAGCGTGAATACCCTTCATGGGGTTTTGGCACCATCTAGTTCAAGCACCAAAGCTAAAACACAGTCACTGTTGTTGCATCATCAAAGCTCATTTTCCAGATCACCCTGGCCCTACGTTCTTAGGATCATACATCTAAAGCTGGAGGGGGCATTAGGAGCCATCTAACCCAACCCTTCCATTTTACAGAAATGGAAAGTGAGGTCACAGGAAGTTAAGAGATTAGCCCAAGGTCACAAAGGTGGTCCTAATTTTCAAATACACTGTCCCATTCACAAAAAAAAGAAAAACAATAAACAACAAAAATCTGCTTCAGATTACATGCTGCACAGTAGAATTAAGAACCAAGGAGAGTGACTTGCCCAAGGTCACCTGGCATTAAGTATTAGGTAGGATTTGAACCCGGATCCTCCGACTCTCCAGTTGGTAACATTCTTTCCATTACACCAGGTCACCTCCTGTCAATGCCAGGCCTTGCGACCTTGGGCTCATCACCCAACCTCCTCTTCTCCTTGAACAAGTCAGCAATAGCTACGGCATTTATTTCTGTTAAGGCTACACTAGGAATATTGCCACACAAAAGCATGCCAAGACTCACTAAGTAGGGTTTCTATGTCAGCACAGATGCTTAGATGTAATTGTGTTGAAAGGGTGGTACAGTCAGGAGAAATATCTCCCATTCACTGTCATGAAAATGGAGACATCCTTTTTGGAAGCCAGGCTGAATACAATTAACAACTCTGAATAATGATTGTTAGCAGCCCTGAGAAGTGGGAAGCTAAGAGAAATATAAAAATCGTCTGATCCTTCTCCAGCTCCCTCCTCCCTCTGCCCCCCCCAAAAGAAACAAGGTGGGCAGGGAGGGTTGTATCTTTAGGACAAGTGGAGGATGAGGGAGAGAGCAGAGCTGCGGGGAGATGGACACCAGGACAAGGGGAGCATGGGGAGGAGGCGAAGCACGTCAACCCGATTTTCTTGTTCTCTCAGTCGACAAAAATCATCTTCAGAATGGGAAGGACAGGGCCAAAATGGTTAACAGGGAACCAAGAAACCCAACAGGGAGAGGATCCCAGAGTGCCCCCGGCACACCTCAAACAAGCCCAGTCACCTCGTCCTGACAAATCCATCCCAGGGTACCGAGAGAATGTGGCGGCTACAGCTCCCTGAGCTGCTGTCAGGCAGGGCTGACAGACACCGGCAGAAAGGCCCTGGGACTGGAGATGGGCACGCGGGCCGACTGTCAGGAGGGGAAGATAACGCATAGGTCACGCAGGCTACGGGCTGAAGAGCTCAAAACCAATCTCTGGCAAAATCCTAGAGCAGCTTGTCACAGGAACAGCTTGTGATCACCGACCCACGCCCACAGGGGTTCACCAAGAGCCAATCATTCCAGATTTCTATCCTTTCCATCTTTTCCCCCACAAGTTTACCCCCTGACACCTCCCAGATAAGACCCACTGCAGCTAACTATATTAATAGAACTGCTACAAGTCAGTATAATGTAGGCTTTTACCTAACCTCAAGCTATCCTTGAGGATAAGATAGAGAGGTGAGGCCTGAGTGATATTACAGTTAGGTGGTCAAGTGAATCAGTTATTCCCTTGATCACACTGGGCCTCAGTTTCCTCATCTGTAAAACAGGAATATTAGACTAGATGGTCTCTGAGTTCCTTGTTCCATGATCCTTCAACCAGTCTTTATATAGCCTGGTCCCCCCCTCCTCTGGCCCTGGTCCAAGTTGTCAATGCCCTTCTTAAACCACGGTGCCCAGCCCCAGGCCCAATACTCCAGTGCGTTCTTCTGTTGAATAATTCATCACATGCAGAAGTTGGTGATTAAGGAATCAATGTCAATCTGAAGGGTTTGTCTCCAATGCAGGGCCCAATTATTAAATTAGTAACACCTAGCTAGGAGGGATGGCAGAAACAACAGCTGAAAAGCTGAATATTCTGAATTAACTGGACTATACTAAACCAGGTGAGATTTAACAGAGGTAACTTGTAAAATCCTGCATCCAACCTCAGAAACCAGCTGCACAAATGGAGGTTGGTAGCAACGTCTTTGGAAAGTGGTTCAATGGCAGTGGAGGAGCCTTGGGTTTTTCATGGACAGCAGCCTCCATGAGTGTTAACGTGATCTTAGACTGCACTAACACAAAACCAAACAGGGGCAATGCCAGCGTCTACAAGAAGGAAAGTTATGGGCTTGCCACATTCAGCCCTGGTCAGACCCCAACTTAAGTATCACACCCAGTGATGGGCGTCACATTTTAGGGAGACCACTGGCAACTTAGAACCAGTCCAAAGGAGGGGGACCATGCAAGGGAGGGCACTGAAAATCCTATGATACAAAGACTGGTGGAAGGATCTAGACCTCAGCAGCCACCTAGTCCAATACCCCCATTTTACAGATGAGGAAACTGAGTCTTAAGGAGAGCAAGTAGATCATTAATAAGTGTCAGAGTTAATAAGTGTCCAAAGCCATTGCTCTTTCCAGAGTGGTATTCCCAGGGCTTCTTGACCCCAGGTGAAGGGTCAGAGAAGAAACAACAACATTCTGAAATAACCACAATCCTGAACACCATACTCAGAGGCTGTGTTTGGGTGTGTGCATAAGAGAAGTCTGGAAAGTGCCTGATCAGAATTTAGTGAGTGAACCCTCCTAGGCACGGGTGCCAATGACCATTGAGGAGGCACTGATATATAGGAGAATGGGGGCTGCAAGGGCCATGCGGGTAAGTTCCTAATTCTGAGGTCAGGATAAATATTGCCCTCCCTTCTTCTGAAGCAAAGCAAGTCATAACAGAATCAGAGATCACTGTACAGAAGAAACAGAGACCCAGAGAAATGAAGGGGCTGGGGACCACTACGGCACCAGGGGGTACCCCACTTGTTTTACCAGTGAGGAAACTGAGGCCCACTGTCACCTAGATAGGAAGCAGCAGAGCCAGCAGTGGAACCTGGCATCTCTGACTCTCAAGTTCACCATGACTTAACCCAGAAAAAGACAACGTAACATGAAAACACATCCTCTGCCACCTTGCCATCTTCCCAATAGGAAACACCAGCCCTTCTTTGTACATCAGGTCAGATGGAAATGGCTTATGGCCCCTTCAGTTCATGCCTCCATCCATGCCACTCTCCATCTGTGACGATGCACCCATTAGACAGAAAGGATAGCCACAAAGCCTACTCAGCACATACACTTTTCTTTAGTACCAGAACATCAGTTGAAACTGTAATTTTCCGTGTATGGGGGCGAGCTTGGGGGAGAAGGACACTCTTTTGGCTGTGTGAATGCTCCAGTTTTCAAGAGGCTTTTCATCTTCAGGTCAATGTCTTTTTTTGCGCTTTTCGGGCTGCTGTTTAGACCCTTGACATCTCTCAGGACTTTCGAAGCCATTTCTTTTCCCTTCCTGACCTCTTCCTTGCTTTTGGAACTGGTCAAAAAGGTTTCCCCTTTTACTGTCAAAGAAAAAAAACAAAACAAAACAAACTCTTACTTCCTCAGAGTGGTGTTTCCCCTATGGCTGGGAATGGATGGCCAGAGCATGGAGGCTCTGTCCTCTCTGACAAAATGGCTTTTTGGCCTTTCTCCCTGGCTTCCCTGCAACTCCTACCCTGGAAGCTCAGGACGGAAAGCAGGGCTGGCAGGGCAGCTGTATTAGTGCTATAGAGGGCATTCCCTATCACTAGACTTCCTAATCTGACCTAGGTTGGGATCAAAAGTAAGGGGGGACCCAGGAGATGGAGGGGAAAACTGTTAGGGGTGTATCCAAGGGCTCTCCACACAATGGCTATGATAATAGCTGGCTCTCATTGTTCAGTCCTGTCTGACTCTACAAGACCCCATGGACCATACCCTTCTAACCTCCACTGATCTCTCCAAGTCTCTCCAAGTTAGTAGCTCTCTAGTCCTTGGGTGAGCAGCCCATCACTATGGTCCAACTCAGAAACTGTCTTAACCTCTCTACCAAAACTCTTACCTTAGTGTTCAATATCTGAAATCCTCCCCCTCCACCACCACAGCCCCCAAAGCTCAGTGTTCCCATATTTGTATCTCACACTGACCACAGTGAATTACAGGGCCACTGGCCAAAGACAGGTGCCCAGTATCCAAACCTGGGAGCCAAAATCAGTGGAGACAGAATCTGGGATGCCAGCTGTGTGACACTGATTTCAGGATGGCATGATGTCTTAGATCCAGTTCAATTCTACAAGTACTTAGTAAGCACTTACTATGTGCTTATTAGAAAGGCAGTGTGGTATAGTGGATAGCCTCTGAACCAGGAAGACCTGGGTTCAAGTTCCACCACTAACACACTAGCTGTCATTTAACCACTGCACATTCTAGATCTAGACAATTCCCAAAGATGATCCATTGTCGGAAAGGTGCCAACCTGCATTTGTAGAGGGAGTTTTCTCTGTGAGTTCCCTTGACCATTAAAATCCCTTCCCGTATCCCAACATACTAGATGCTGAGGATTTGTTCCTGCCCTAAACAAGCTCACATTTTACCAAGAAAACATAACCAACAATGGTCCACAGAAAGTTGATTTAAGGAGACAGTATGGAAACAAGGCATAAAAAAAAGCCAACATAGGGTTGACATGAGGAAAACCTTCCTAAGGAGAGCTGTCCAAAGTATGATGGACAGCCTCCCAGAAGGACCTTCCACCTGGAGGTCTCCAACCAGAGGCTGGATGGCCAAGCATGGGCCATGTGTCAGTAACAGGGATTCACTCCTTTACGTGCATGGGCTAGATGACATGTCCACTAAGGACTCTTTCAACTCTCAAATCTGGTGATTCTGTGACATAAGGCAGGATGAATTAGGACGGGGCTAAGGGATAACATCTATGTATTCTAAGGAAATCTGAGGAAGGATCTGAGGTTTCACAGCATGAGCTGAGCGGCAAGCAGGACACTGCTTCCCTTGTGGGCCTCGGCAATAACATCTTATTTACTAGACTCACAAACCAACCTAGGACACTCTGCATTGAAGCCTGAAATTCTAGCTGGAGCTTTGAAGAAAGAAAAACACAACACTCCAAATATTCAGGGAAATTGGGATAGTGTCCACCCACTCAGGTCAACAAGAGAACAGAGATGTCTTTACAAACTGAATCTTCTCACTAGCTATTTCTGGCATAGGAGGCTTTAAAGAAGACATGGTGTTGGGAACCAGTGAGTCCTGGCCTTCTGGGCCAATCAGCTGCTAATCATGACCCCGAGGGCAGAGTCCAGCAGGAAGCAAGCACTAAAAGATCTAAGCCAAAAGTTCTTACTTTAGGGCCCATGAGCTTTGGATGGGGAGAGCATGAACTCTATTTTCACTAGCCTGTCATTGAAATTTAGCTTTTCCTTCAATTGTTTTAAAACAGGATTCTGCAAAGGGGCTCCCTGGGCTTCTTCAAACCACCAAAGGGGTCCATGACACAGAAAAAGTTGAGAATCCCTGATTTTAAGGCAGGGGCAAAACTTTAAGGGCTTTCCCCAGTACCCAGAAGGTACCTTTGACTCTCAGCTGTATTAGTTAGGAGGACCTGAGGTCAGCCAGAGAGTCAGGACCCAGGGCATGGAATACCCCATCTAAGCTTTGATATAAGTGGTTGGCATTTTAACAGCAGCTCAATTTTAACAGCAGCCAAGCTAGGGAAAAAGGCAGATCAAAAGAGATTTGTGACAGAAAACACCAGAGAATATGTCAAAAGAAGAGGCAGAAAGATATTGTGAAAAAAAAAAAAGAATTTGAAGTTACAGGACCTGGGTTTGAATCTTGGCTATGCCATTAAGCACCGGTGATCCTGGGCAAGCTTAGGACAGTGGACAGGGCACTGGTTCTAAAGTCAGAGGACCTGGGGTCACACCCTACTTCTGCTGCTCGCTCCATGTGACCTTTTAATGAATCTCCCAGGAAGGGGTTGGGCTGTGCGGCCTCCAGGTCCCTTTCAGCTCCAAGCCCAGGATTCTATGATCCCAGATCACTTACCCTCTCAGCCTCAGTTTCCTTCACAGTAAAAGCAGGGCATTGGGCTAAATGGCCTCCAAGATCCCTTCCAGTTCTAAATCCTGTGCTTGCAATCCAATGAATGTCTACTGAAGTATCAAACGGGTTATAAATCTCACCCAGTTTAAAAATTGAAAGTATGTTGACTTTGTCTAAGACACTAACTTGCTGGATGACCTTGGCATGGCCTAACCTCTAGGAAAGGAAAGGACTGGACACTAGATGACCTTAAGGCTTGCTCCAGGTCTAATATTTTTAGGTTTCCATTTTTAAACAGACCTCAATGCCCACCACTGTCCCTGCACCAATCACCATCAAAAAGCTGCCTTGTCTGCACTCTGCTGGTATGTCAATGTTGGCCTAGCTGTGGCACACCTTGGCTTCTAGACTGCTTATGTCAGCTACAGGGAAAAGTGGAGAGAAGCCCCATCTTTGGAACATGGACAAAGAAAGTCCACATGGAGATGGCCAATGAACAACAACGTGCTTGGAAATTGGGGGTGGGGGTGGAGAGGCAGAGAGCCTGCCTCCAGGAAGTCTGACAGCAGACAGAGGAAAATAACCTAACGCTTATAATGCAGATGCCTTGCTACTCCATTCCCTGCCAGTCTGGGCTTCCAAGAAGCTAAGGGTTGTTAGAACAGGATTCCAACCATTTCCACAGCAGGACTGCATAGGAAAGAGTGGATACAAGGACAAAATGTATAACATCCGCCCTCAAGGAGCTCACATTTTACACGGAATTGACAAAGCATTTATTAAGCATCTACTGTGTGCCAGGCACTATGCTAGGTAATGAAGATTCAAGGACAAAAATGAGACAGTCCCTGCCCTCAAGGAGCTTACGTTCCACAGAGGAAACCAACACATACATGACAATTGACAAGCACTCGTTAAGCACCTACTATGTGGCAGGCACTATGCTAGGTAGTGAGGCTATAAGGACAAAAACATATAGTACTTAGCCCCAAAGAGCTCACATTCTACACTCAATTGACAAGCATTCATTAAGAACCTACTATGTAGGATACAAGGACAAAAATGAAACTGTTCCTGCCCTCAAGGAGCTCACATTCCGGGAGTCGGGGGAGGCAAATGTCATTTATACTGATAATCAATTAGCAAGTATTAATTAAGTCCCTATTATTTGCTAAGCATCATACATCACTCAAGGAGCTGACATTCTATTAGGGAGAACAGCACGCCCTTCCATAAGTCTGTATATACAAGGTTCATACAAATTAAAACGTAAAGCGACTTGGGAGGGAAGGCATTAGCAGCCATCAGGAGGGAGACATGCAGGCCAGCCCAGAAAGAGGCTATGGAGACCAGACATGGCGTCATGTGGGAAGAATGAGGTTTCTGTACCATAGAAGGGGTGAAGGGAAACAGTGGATGTAGGTGAACTACAGAAAATATTGCTCAAGCAGGTCCTGATTATCTACAACTGGATAAAGAAAAACTGGTGCCAATCCAGAGCCTTTGGAAACAGGGCTGGATACAGTAGAGAGAACACCAGCTCTGGAGTCAGAGGTTCTGAGTTCAAATCCTACCTCTAACACTTACCAACTGGGTGACTTTGATCAGGTTACGTAACCTTTCTAGGATCTGGTCTCCTACTCTGTAAAATGAGAAGGTTGGACAGCACTAGTTCTAGGATCTTATACTGTGAAGTCTCTTCCACTCTTTGGATTTCAGTTTCCTCTTCTGTAAAAAACGAGATTAGAGGACAGGATAGTAGAAGGAAAGAAAGAGAAGATGAACAGGAAAGGCAGGCCAGAAGGTTGACAGAGAAATGATACAGCGGAGAGTTCTGGGTCTTCAGGCAGAGGACCCACGTTCACGTTCAAAACCTATCTCTGATACTTACTTTCCTGTGTGACCTAGGAGAGTCACCTAACTCTCCTGAGACCTCATTCCATGCTCTGTAAAATAAGAGATCATTGGCCTCTGGGGTCCTTTCCTCCTCCAAGACTGAGCTGCCATGAACTCAAACTGCTTAGGTTTGCATGACCTCTGCCTTCAGACAGGGACCATGAGAGTCACGTAGGGGGTGGTAAGGCAAAACCCGACCATGGACTAAGCTGGTGTTCCCATTAGCATTCTAAGATAATGACAGGGAGGGACACAAGGGAATCCCTTTAACATGGAAAAGGTGGTTTTCACCCCCCTGAAAGTGCCACTTCTAAAGTCTGGAGACCAATGCTTTTGGAATAAAGGATGTAACCCAAAAGTTCTGGAGAGAGAGAAGGGGGGGAGGGGGGAGAGGGGGGAAGAGGGGGAGAGAGAGAAAGTGGGGGGAGGAGGGGGAGAGAGGAGGAGAGGGGAGGAGGGGAGAAACAGTCTCAGGTTCATCCTTTGTGAAATGGGGGGGTGAGCTAGATGGCCCCGAAAGTCTTTTTCTGCTCTCCTATAAATTTGTGCAGTAAAGGAAGCAGGATTTTCCTTTAACACATGAGTATCTGGCAGCATCCCAGGTGCTTTGTTCCAAGTATCAAGGCTCCTTCTCAGACAAAGGGGGTGTAAGAGAATGGGAGTGCCCCAGGGCAGTCTTTGGAGAAACGAGTCCCTGATATTAGCTCATCTTCTTGTGACCTACCTCTTTGTCCTGAAAGAGAAGGATGGCTTTATAAACTATTTAGGGGCAACATTTTCAAGATATGTGGCATCTTTTAAATAACCTACTGAGGGGAAAATGTTTCTTCTTCTATACTTCAGCATGAGCTCTGACTTTCTCACTCCTTCCTTCATCCCTGCAGGCCGCCCTGCCTACCTGTTGATGATTATTTGGGAGGGGAGGGAGGAGAAAGGAGGTTGACACAAGAAGAACAACTACTCCTGAAGCCATCTCCCAAGGCATGGAGGGTTTGTTGAGTGTACTTAAGGCAATGTCTACATGAACAAATGAACAGAACAGCAAGCATCTGTTAAGTTCCCACTGTGTGCTGGGCACTCAGGATCCAGAGGCAAAAATTAAACAGATTCTTGAAGCACTGAATTGAGGCATGTTCCAAGTCACCTTTCCCCCATCCTTGTCATCTATCACTCAAACTCAAGTGGATAGCCTGTTGCTTTGGAAGTTCCATCCAATGATGGAGACCACAGCTCATGCACGCCATCCCATCCTGCGTGTCCATGGCTTCCTGTAGGTTTACAGTGTCCGCCCAAAGCGCCAGAAACCTTCTTTGCTCTCTCCCAGCAACATAAGGGTGCCTGTGGCAATAACTGACAAATTTCTGGTGCTTGAGTATCTTTGATCATCACCTCTTTCTTGTTACTATGAAAGTGATCCACATTAAAAGATGGAGTTAAAAGATGGAGCTTTGCCAAGAGAGAGTTTGGGAAAAGACTCAATTGTGATGTGGATCCATCTCGACTTGGATGCTTCTCTCTTCAGGGAATCAGAACCCACTTGCTAGGAAAATAGGCTCATGCTGTTGAATAGGGTCAACGGTTCAGAATTCTCTCTTCACTTTCTCCTCCATGTCATATTCTACTCATTGACCTCTTGACATTTATGAGTCCTCACAACCTTTTTGTTCCCAACGTCTTTCGTTTGTTCTGTTAGAAACTCTTGATCCTTACTCGGAGAACAGGACTGTCCACAGAGGTATTTCTCATGTCGTTTCAATTTCTGCTCTATCTAGTTGCTATTAGCACACAGTGTAGATGAGTGCCTCCGGAAGGAAGACAAACATGCTCATACTCAATGTGCCAGGAGATACCTTTAGAACCAAACAGCCACAAACAGCATCCAGTGTCCAGTCCGAGGCACAGACCTAGCTTCCCGTCATCTGTCCATTACACAACGATGTTAAAAGCCCGTGGAGGATCAGCTTAATCTGAATTTACGTTCAGGATGTTTTTGCCACCATGGCTCTAACAACTCAATCTTCAACATGAGAATGTCTGACGATGCTGAAAAATGTATGTCTATAAGGAAACAACTACATAACACAGACCACCCTGAACTGTGGCTCATTTAAAAAAAAATGTATCTTAAGCTCATTCTTCTTTAACCTTAGATTAAGGTGAATGAATAATGAAACCAAACTGCAGATACCCACATTGTGCTCCCATAGCCCACCCTGCATATATTTAAGGGGGTTGCTAAGATGGAATTTACCTGCGCCACATTCTCGTTTGTGGGACTCATTCCAGGCTTTTGCCTTACAGTGTTTGCTACAGGTTAAAATTCCATAACATCGAAGACACGGCGTGAGCCGTACCCCTATGGAGCGACCACACTGGTAGCAAAACTTGAAGAAGGGTATCCTGTGGGAAAGAAATAAATCCCTGCATCAGTCAACAGAAGAAGAATCTGGAATCCATTTTCACTTCCCTTTCCTTCTTTCAAATGTCATCTTCATACCACCTAATATTACATTTTTTAGAGGAAAAAAAAACTTTTACAATATTGGCTTGAGGAGCAGCTAAGTGGTGCAGTAGATACAGCACCGGCCCTGGAGTTAGGAGGACCTGAGTTCAAATCTGGCCTCAGACACACTTACTAGCTGTGTGACCCTGGGCAAGTTACTTAACCCCATTGCCTGTCAATAATTAAATAAATAAAAATAAAAATATTGACTTGATCTGAGATGGTGGAATGAACACTTGCTCTGGAGTCAAAAGGACCTGGATTTCAATCCCAACTTTGCCTTTCATTACCTGTGTGACCCTGGATAAGTCCCCTCACTTCTCTGGGGCTCTATTTTTTCATGTATATAATAAGAGGGTTGGACAGATGACCTCTGAGGTCCCTTCTAGCTTTAAATCTAATATTTAAATTTTTTTCAAGTGCATAAGGTCAGAGATCCAGAGCTGAAAGGGAACTCAGAGGTCAGTTCCCCCATTTTACAGATAATAATAATAATAATGACAATGATGACATATCATAACAGCCGATATTTCTACTAAGCACTTCACAAATAATGTCTCATTTGATTCTGACAATAACCCTGGGATGTAGGTACTATGATCCCCATTTTACAGTTGGGGAAACTGAGGCAAACAGAGGCTTAGTGACTTGCCCAAGGTTACACAAATAGTAAGTGTCCAGGGCTGCATTCAAAGTCAAGTCTTCCTGACTCCAAGCCAAGTTCTCTATCCACTGTGCCACCTATAAAGAAACAGAGGCTTGGAGGCTAAATTGTTTGTCCAAGGGCTATTGGGGAGTTAGGAGGATTAAACCTAGGTCCTCCTGACTCGAGTCCAGCACTGTCCTCTCCACCACGTTCAATACTTCAAGAAATCCAAAGTTGCATCAGTGTGAGTATCTCCTCTACCACTGCAGACTATAACAACTCTGTGATGCAGTCAAGGGACCATGAGAGCTTCTACAACAGAAGACAAATACTCCATCGTTGGGCTCCCTCTTGAAGCCCTTCCAACATGGAATGGTCTCCCAGAGCTTGTGCTATACTTATACAGCCTTCAAAAAACTAAGGTTGGTGTTCTGGCAAGACAGTTCAGTGAGTGGCCATGCTCTCAGTGAGAGCCTGGCTCTCCCTTTGTTTGGGAGAGGAGGGATTGAGCAACACTGACAGTGAGAAATTTTATTATGCCCAATAAAAGAACAACCAAAAAGAGAAGGCAAAGGAATAATCTTCATGTGAGAAAACCTTGCAAGAAAACGCCTTCAGACACTAAAGAAATAAATAAGCCCCTCACTCGTCCTTCCTTCCCAAAAAGGCCTCAGTATAAAGAACAAATACTATGAAGTAAAAGAGGGCAAAACAAAAAGTCTCCAGAAGGAAGGCACAAGATTACAACGACAAGCAGGCCACCAGAGAAGAGACTGGGACTGGCTCCAGAATGGTTGAGGAACTCGAGACAAAGTGAAAACTGCTTCAGCAGAGAGATGAGAGTGTCATTGATACAAAGAACTCCAGAGTGAGGGAGACTCTATCTCTATCAATAATGTTGTCAGAACCTTCTGTGCAACCTACAGTCTTAGAGTTTTCTAGAACAATGATGCTGGGAGCAGAGACCGTCAAACTGTACATGACGATCCCTGTGGACCTCATGTTAACTTAGTTTTGAAATATAATATTATCCATGTTTTGTTATGTTCTTATTTAGCTTAAAAAATATTTCCCAATCATATTTTAATCTGGTTCAGTCGGCACTCAGGAGTGTTATGGGGCCACATGCAGCCCACATGTCTGACACTTATAGTCTAGAACATGAAGAAGGTAAATTGCTTGCCCAGGGTCTCGCAACCTGCATACTCTATAAGTTGGATCGCAAACCTAGGTCTTCTTGACTTTGGGACTAGCCCTTTATGAAATATGTCACGCTGCCTCTCTTAACAAAATAGCAAGATAAAAAACAAATGCACAAAAAAACCCTTAACATTTCTGTGTATTACTAGCAAAAATCCAGGAAAAAGTGATAGAAAGAGAAATAGTATTTAAAACAAGGTGCATTAAATATTTCAGAATTAAACAAAATAATACAAAGGACATCAATAAATTTTTTAAAAAATGATTTTCATGAAATAATAGGAGAACTAAACAGTTAAAGGGATATTCAATATTCATGGCTGGGTCATGTCAGTATAGCAAAAATGGCGATACTATCTTAATTCACATAAAAAAGCAAAAAAAATATTGCAGCAAATACGCTCTCTGGCCTTACACACACACACACACACACACACACACACACACACACTCACTCAGAGTAAGGCTAGCTCCATCTGCCCCTCAGCATAACCTGAGGGGTGAAGAAAAGGGTGTGTCTCTTCTTCCACCACCACTGGCTTAAGTGCCTACTGACTGTTCCCCTCACTGTTAGTTGCCAGTAACTAAAGCCCCAGTTCCATTTCACCACTTAACATCAATTAACTTTCGCCAAAGGATGTTTACTTCAAAGATATAGAAAGAATAAACATAGAAACATTTTCGCCAATACCTTGAAGACATTCTCCCCCATTTCATCACTGTCTGAGTACAGTGGGCTCACTCAGCACTATTCTTATCCCACATTGGTTCTGCCAATGTGAGACCAAATGTGACATGGCTGCCAGATGCATCCTCATCTCAGACATCCTGGCTGGTTCCAAGGGTTACTCTGGAAGGCCACTCCTTGCTCCTCTGGGCACTGATGCTTTCGAATGGGGCCACATGGTGACCTTGCTGAGGAGGACCCAAGTCCTGTTCCCTTTCAATAGCGATTTTCTAAGTGTGGTCCAGGGACCTCTGAGGGTTCATAAGACCCTTTAAGGGGATCTGTGAGGTCAATAGATCAAAAAGAATAGGATAACCACAGAAGGCCAAGGGAGATTTTTTTTTTAAATAGAAATCAGGGAAGAGATAGGAGTGAAATTAGAACTCACATAGAAATTTCAAGAAATAAATCACTGATTTATAACAGAAGCAGGAAAATATTAATAAAGCAGTTATTTCTCTGAAAATAAGAATGAAAAATATATAAATCCAGAGATACCAGTTACACTAATCAAAGTCACAAGGTAGAAGAATTGCAATACAAAGCAAAGCAACTTGAAGACAAGTTTTAGCAAGACAATCTTTGGCCTCCCAGAAAAACATGATAAAATAAAAATCCCACACATATTTCAGAAATCCTAGGAGAAAACTGCCCAGAAGTATTTAAGCTAAACAGCAAAGTGCAGATCAACAGAATCCACAGGATTACAGTAGAAACTATGTTTAGCACATGTGGAATTGAAGTCACCAAGCTCTAGCTCTAGAACTTCCAGGTAAAAGAAAAAAAGATGTAAGCAGCCACAAAAAGGCAGCTTACTTACCATGGGACACCTGTCCAAAGTTCATAAGATTATTCTTCAATGATGAGAAGTGAAAGAACAAGCAGAAATATGATAATACTGAAAAGCAGAGGGGCAAAGTTTCACCCAAAGATAACTTCTGAAAATTAACACAGAATCCTAACAGGGAGAAATGATTTGATAGAATTAATGACTTCCCAGCAATTTTTTTTTAGATAACCAGAGTTGAACAGTTTTTTGAAATGCAAATACAGCAGACAAAAGAAACTTTGAAAAAAAATAAACAAATTCAAATAATTTCAAACAGGTAAGCCAAGGCCCACGGTTTATTTACTTCAAGGGAAAGGGGCAAGGCTAATATCCTTTGGTAGTTCTACTTCCCTATGAGTCAGTGAGGGAGACATATCAGCTATCAGCTAACATGAGAAATAAATAATCTTGAGAAGAAGAGAGCAGGGGGAAAAAGCATTTCTTGAAATCTGGGTGCTAGAGGTAAAGATGATTCCATCACAAACATGGAAATTAAAACAACTCTGAAATATAGCTCTGATGTTCAACAAGTTGGCAATGATGGTTTAGAAAGATTGAAAAATTCAATGCTGGCAGGACTATAGGAAAACAGACACAGTAATTCAGTGCTCAAAAGAAATGTATAATAGTCTGATCCCTTTGAAAAGAAGGAAAATTGTCATAATTGCCCAGATACTTTGGCCTGGTAATCCCATTACTACGTCTCAAGGAGATTAAACAGCAAGAAAAAGCCTATCTGTACAAAAATACTCATAGCAGCATTATTTTTAACAACAAACATTTTAAAACAACATACATTTCCTATTATTTATAGCTGAACAAACATCTATTGTGTCTGTGTCAGAAAGACACAGAGATACAATGAAATATTATTATACTATAAGGAGTTTCTCATAAAACAGTATGAAACTATGATGAAAAAAATGAAGAATGAGGGGTGGCTGGTCTGGTGCTTTTCCCAGAGGTTTCCAAGAACAATTTACCAATGGGAAAAGGGGCCCAAATGCTCTCTTCCTGCATATGTTAAAAATCAGAAGCACCTGATAAATATTTATTGAATAACAGGTTGATAATGTGATGACCGCATCAAAATAACACTCAAGTCCAACTTATCTAAAAAGAAAAAAACCGAGTGAGTGAAGAAGAGCAGTTATCTAGACTATTATGTACAGGTCAAAGGGGAAAGTGAAGAACTGGAGCCTAGATACATAAATCTTGGATCGACACTATGGATGGACAATGAGGTGGGAACAGAATTGAGCCAAGAGGAAGGAAACATATGTGACCATATTTGGGAAACTGTATGGTGCTTTTAATGGTTTCAAGCTTCTACCTGAAAGAAAAGCCCATCTTTTGAACTCTATGCTTCCAGTGAGCCATGGAATGAAAGTCTCTGAAGAATTAAAGTTGAAGGTTATCCAAAAGACAACAGAGTCACACATTGAGTGAGCAGGCTGCAACATCTTCGTTACCAACAGAGAGTTGGGAAGAAGCA